ATGTATGTTATATATATATTTCATAAAATATAACTAAATTTAGCAAGCAATTTATGACAAATGTAATCAGTATAGACAGTTACAGTAGCGTTTTGCTCTTGGTCTGAGTTAGTCCTCCTGCTGCGTGTTGGATGCACGTTATCTCGTTGCTGGCTTGTATTTCCTGGAAGACGCGGATGCTGCTGTAGATGTGGGATGGCGGCCGTTTCCAGTAGGGATGTTGTTTCGGGTACTAAGGGTAGCTGGACAGTTGGGGATGATACATCTCCAATATACACGCTCACCTCTGTTAACACAGTAAATATATCCGTTGTACGCGATGTTCTGTCTTCCAAACTTGTTACGAAGAAACGTCACTTGAATTTGTGCATTTGCCATGTTGGTGGTTGATGGGGAATATGTGAGACCCTCAACTTCCTTTTATACTTACAAAACATACAGCTTGGACAATATCACTTGTTTAATCACCACAGCATCAATTAAGTGACGAACATTTAGGTTATGAAATGTATTTACTTTTTTATTACCGGACAGAGAATGAATTTCTATTAATAGTGATTAATCGCTTTGCAAACTGTCAGCTTATATGTCCCTTAATAAGCTTATATACTTGTATAATTAATTGTCGACTCGATGCTCATCAGTAAAGTGGTCAGTTGATGGACCCAAAATCATCAGGTGTTAAGATTCATTATTATCAACTAGAAATATCAGTGGACCCAAGCCATATGGGTTATCAAGAAGAAACATAACTAATAATTATGTTTTACGGGAAAATAATCTAATGAGTGATACTAAGTTATTAATAATTACACCGAAGACGCATATGTATTGGTAAAAAAGATTCTCTGTAAATAATGCATCAATATGAATATGCTTCACCCTAAATTAAATCTATTGAAATTAAAATTTAATTAATCAAAGCATTATCATCTATACATATATATAATATTTGTGAATTTCACGTAACTGTTTTGTATGGATCTAGCTGATGAAAATGATATATGATATGAAAAAAATGGCTAAAAATGATGAAAATAGACTATATCAAAGCTACATGTATATGACAGTACTGTATATATGACACAGGGAATGTGGGAGAACACAGGTAAAATGTATATGAAACAGACTATAACTGCTGTCACACCATTACTGCCTCTATGTGTTTTTAAAAAAGTGGGAGAAAGGAGAACACACCGATCAAAACAGTGGTATATATCCAAGATGGCGGACATTTGTGAACAGGGGGGTTGCTTGCCATTAATTAGCCCCCTCCCAACTTTTGGCCCAACTTTTTTTTCTCAAGAGGGGGGGGCTTATTGCCGGTAAAATACGGTAACTCAAAAGCAGAAAATCACAATCATATTCACAGATATTCATTTGATGTTTGAAAACTGTTAATGTTAGCCACAAACAGTTGAAGAATTCATAATTTCAAGACATTTTAGGAACTTTCATTCATAAACTAAATGTGTCTTTTGATGTTCATGAAATTTCATTAAGGTAATGTGAATGCTTCATGAACAAGTGACCATGAACTGTTCATCATGTATTTATGAATGGTTGGTGACAATGACGGTCTGTGTTTTTACAGACTTGATGCCCTTGTAATGAGATTTGAACCTCCCAACTCAAACCAAAGGTGGGACAGTCCATTGTTTACCGTCCAGAGGGGAGACAGGTTGTCAGGAGAACAGATTGTGGATGCTCTACTCAACAGGAAACCTCCTCCCCCAAATATGGCTACACAGAATGTAAGCACCAAACATAAGTACCTTATATAAACATCAGTGTGTCTATTATTAGCTCACCTGGCCCAAATGGCCAAGTGAGCTTATGCCATGGCGCATGCAGCATCTGTCGTCCGTCAACTTTTTCCTTTAAAACGCTACTAGTCCTTAACAGCTCAGAGGATTTTGACCAAATTTGGTCTGGAGCATCATTGGCCAAAGGGTTCTCAGTTTGGTATAAATAGAAGGTATGGTCCCCCTGGGGGCAGAGGGGTGGGGCCAAATAGGGGGAAAATAGGTAAATCTTCTAAAATCTTTTTCTCACCCAATTGAAGGATTTTGACCAAATTTGTTCTAGAGCATCTTTGGACAATGGAGCCTCAAGTTTGTATAAACAGAGGGTTTGGCCCCTCTGTGGGCAGATGGGTGTGGCCCAATAGGGGAAATAGAGGAATTTTTAGCTCATCGGGCCGGCAAGTGAGCTTACGCAATGGCGCAGCTTCCGTCGTCAACTTTTCCTTTAAAACGCTACTTGTCCTGAACGGCTAAGAAGATTTTTTCGCTAAATTTGGTCTGGAGCATCCTTAGGCCAAGGGGACTCAATTTTGTATAACCTGTGGGTGTCACCCCCCTGGGGGCAGAGGGGCAAGGCTTAATAATGGAAATAGGGGTAAAACCTTTCTAATCCTTCTTCTTCCAAAGGGATTAAGGGATTTTATCCTAAATTAGCCTGGAGCATCCTTGGGCCAAGCTGGGACACAATTTTGTATAAATGGTGGGTGTGACCCCCCCTGGGGGCAGAGGGGCATGGCCAAATAAGGGAAATAGAGCAAATTCTTCAAAATCCTTCTTCTTCTGTAGGAATGAAAGGATTTGTTCCATATTTGGTCTGAAGCATCCTTGGGTGAGGGGAACCAATTCTGTATAAACAGTGGATCTGGCTCCCGAATAAAAGGATTTGTTCCATATTTAGTCTGAAGCATCCTTCAGTGAAGGGAACCAAATTTGTATAAACCGTAAATCTGGCCCCCCTGGGGCCTGAGGGACGGGGTCCAATAGGGGAAATATAGCAAATTCTTTAAAATCCTTCTTCTGTAGGAATGAAAGGATTTGTTCCATATTTAGTCTGAAGCATTCTTTGGTGAAGGGGAACCAAATTGTATAAACCGTAGGTCTGGCCCCCAGGGGCCTGAGGGGCGGGTTCCAAAAGGGGACAATTTGGCTATATTACTACAAACAACTTCTTCTGTAGAACTTTGCACTGGATATCAACCATATTTGACTGGAAGCATCCCTAGGTGGTGGGGATTCAAAATTGTACAAATGGTTGGGCTGACCCCCAAGGGGCTGAGGGGCGAGGCCAAAAGGGGGCAATTTGGCTATATTGCTATAAACGACGATCATATTTGGTCAGAAGCATTCATGGGAGGCAGGAATTAAAAATTGTACAAATGGTGGGGCTGAACTCCCGTGCTAAGGAGTGGGGCCAAAAAAGGTTTATTACTTGGAAATGGTTGAGATCCCCACGGTATAACCATATATACAATTGTGGAGTATAAAGAGAAGAATGCACATTTGCTTCCAGGATGGCCTAGGGTCTGGCCCCACCCTTGGAGACATAGTCCCTGGGCCATAACTTTAAAACGGTTGAGATCCCCACCCCAAAACTATATATACAATTGTGGGCATAAAGAGACAAATGCAGTTATGATATTAGAATAGACCCTGGGGTCTGACCGAACCCCTAGGGACCTAGTTTCTTAGTCACAGCTTGGAAATAGTTGAGATCCCCACGGTATAACCATATATACAATTGTGGAGTATAAAGAGAAGAATGCACATTTGCTTCCAGGATGGCCTAGGGTCTGGCCCCACCCTTGGAGACATAGTCCCTGGGCCATAACTTTAAAACGGTTGAGATCCCCACCCCAAAACTATATATACAATTGTGGGCATAAAGAGACAAATGCAGTTATGATATTAGAATAGACCCTGGGGTCTGACCGAACCCCTAGGGACCTAGTTTCTTAGTCACAGCTTGGAAACAGTTGAGATCCCCACGGTATAACCATATATACAATTGTGGAGTATAAAGAAAAGAATGCACATTTGCTTCCAGGATGGCCTTGGGGACTGCCCCACCCTTGGACCTCTGGATCATATCTTTAAAACGGTTGAGATCCCCACCCCAAAAACTATATATACAAATGCTGGGCAAAAAGAGACAAATGCAGTCATGATATTAGAATTGATCCTGGGGTCTGGCCTCAACCGTAGGAACCTAGTTTCTAAGTCACAGTTTGGAAACAGTTGAGATCCCCACCCCATAACCATACATAAAATTGCTTGGCATGAAAAAATCTAACAAGGATTGGCCTTTGGGTCTGGCATATTCCCTTGGATCTCATTTGGAGAATATTTTGCCGTGATTGCTTAGATATCCAGGTGAGCGATAATACAGGCCCTCTGGGCCTCTTGTATAAAAAGGTGCATGTGAGGACATACAGGAAAATTGAAAATCTTTCTCCTNCCCCCCCCACCAACCCCATCCCCCCAAATATTTTAGTCAGGTTTTGTAGCCATGTGTGACCAGGTTTACTGTAATACTAGGGTCTATGATATTTTCCTTGTTCTGTTTTTGTTGTTGGTTCTATTTTTAGCTCACCTGCCCGAAGGGCAAGTGAGCTTATGCCATGGCGCAGCATCCGTTGTCCGTTCATCAACTTTTCCTTTAAAACGCTACTTGTCCTGAACAGCTAAGTAGATTTTTCGCTTAATTTGGTCTGGAGCATCCTTAGGCCAAGGGGACTCAATTTTGTATAACCTGTGGGTGTGGCCCCCTGGGGTCAGAGGGGCAGGGCCCAATAGGGGAAATAGAGATAAAACCTTTAAAATCCTTCTTCTACCATAGGGATTAAGGGATCTTATCCTAATTTAGTCTGGAGCATCCTTGGGCCAAGGGGACTCAATTTTGTATAAACAGTGGGTGTGGCCCCCCTGGGGGCAGAGGAGTGAGGCCCATTATGGTAAATAGAGGTAAAATCTTAAATATCCTTCTTCTTCCGTAGGGATTAAGGGATTTTGTGTAAACGATGAGCTTGGCCCTCCTGGGAGCAGAGGAGCTGGGCCCAATAGGGGAAACATAGCAAATTCTTCAAAATCCTTCTTCTTCTATAGGAATGACAGGATTTTGTCAAAATTTGTTCTGTAACACCCTTGGGTGAAGGGGAACCAATTTTGTATAAATGGTGGTTCTGACCCCCTTGTGGAAGAGAGGCAGGGCTAAATAGGGAAAATAGGAAAATAGCTTTAAATTCCTTTTTCTGTAGGAATGACAGGATTATGTCCATATTTGGTCTAAAGCATCCTAGGGTGAAGGGTATGACAGGAATGACAGGATTTTGTCCAATTGCATATAAATATAACCCCTGACTAACCATGTAATACATGTAAACTACCAGCAACATCTGGCTATTTCAACTTCAATTTTGATAACATTTCCAGGTGAGCAATACAGGCCCTCTGGGCCTCTTGTTGACAGTTCGTATCCATTGTCCAATTTCAAGTATTAATCATATCAAATATTCTGATCTTCCCCGAGCCAGGTACATTATACTTCCTGGCAATCATTTTTGTTTTCTCAGTGTAATGACCGGGTAGTTTATAAATGATCATAATGCAGAGGATTTCTGTAGATGGTCTGCTTTGCTGCGTTGTGACTTGCATCTTCAAAACCCTTGTGTCTTTGAAATCCAAGGGTTCAGCTCTCGATACTTCTCTATTTAATTATCCAACAGGAAAAACAACACAATATACAGAAATGTATTTCACTGACACAGAAGCACTGCGTCTTATTTATTAAACAAACACATCATTTTCAAACACAACAATACGTGTTATGGACATAAAGCATGTAGGCACTACAAACAAAAGATTGTATTTAATCATTAGATTTACTTTAAAATTGATCCAGATTACTCCCCACATCTCTGATTTCCCATAACAGGATATCAAATACAAAATTAACATGATTATTTGAATTCCACTTTAACCAAAAAACAGCCCCGATTTCTTCAAGTAAAAATTAAATTTCACGTCTGCCTGCCGCTAACTGTGTCACTTACATTGTAAATGACGCGATAGGGATTTGCATGTTCAAATCTCAGACCATCACGCCCCCTTTTGGCACTGCATAACATAGAGAAAATAATTCCACCCTAATTCCAACAATTGAAATTATATAGGACCCTGTATATATATATTATCTCCAAAAGTGATATACAGTAAAACCTAAATATAATGCCACTCCATTTATTTGCCACCTTGCTTACCGCCAACAAATTTTAATTGCCAATCTCTTTATAATGCCAGCATTTCTCTGGACAAACAGTGGTAGTGTGACGAGATGTTACTGTATATTAAGAGTTGGTCATTTGGATTTCATAGATGTTGTGTATATGATGAGTACAATTACTTGGAAGTCAGCATCACATCATATTTCCCGGAGTGGGCTGTCGTCAGGCAGACTTGGGAACAAGGAAATTCTGTATTAATAAGCAATCGACTGAGAAATTCATGAGTATGGGAGGTGATATATCAATGGTGAATATCGAAATAGGGCTTCATAATATCGTGTATAACAAGCACTACGTATGACAGGGAAAGGGTTGCTGATGAAAGTCTGAGCAACGAGAACCAGATGATGTCTTTTAAGATAAAACTTGACAGCGAAACACATTGAAGCTAGAAGTACATGACAATATTACTTCCCTGTAATCAAATTGTGAGTGATTGTATGACTCAAAATGTGATTGTATGACTCAAAATGTGAGTGATGTGAGTGATTGTATGACTCAAAATGTGAGTGATTGTACGACTCGAAATGTGAGTGATTGTATGACTCGAAATGTGAGTGATTGTACGACTCAAAATGTGAGTGATTGTACGACTCAAAATGTGAGTGATTGTACGACTCAAAATGTGAGTGATTGTACGACTCAATATGTGAGTGATTGTACGACTCA